GAGATTTTGATAAATTGAAATCTAGGATACCGAACAACAATGAACTTCAAATTGGATCTGGAAGCTTGCGTTGGGAAGAACCGGAACATTAATTTGCTGGTAGCAATAATGATACTTGGCCTCTTGTTCAAATATCACAGCAGTTGAAGAAATCTAATTTCCTCCACTTGTTCTGAGTGGTATCACATATTTATAAACTAATCAGAGAGGAATTTCAACATTCTAAACAAGTCTGCGGTAAACACACCATCATATTGCCATTTCTAAAGTCGATGAATCTTTTATCACATTTCTCTGACATTTTCTCTCGACTATTTAACAATGTATCGAAGAACCAATATTTGTTGCTGACAATTGTCTTGGAATACAATTTCACATGATTAAGACTTGTAACCTATTAATAATTAAATGACATCAAGTTGTTTTCAAAATTGTTGAAACGTACCTTGCGATGCCTGTCATCCCTTGATTTCTAAGTGGACTTTACTGTATTGTAATGCATTTATAGTTGTATGCATGTACCGGTCCATAATAGAGTTTAGGTAGTAACAGGATTACAGGAGTGTATTCACATAATAATTGTACAGTTTTTGAAGAAGAAATATTTTTCCTGAAGCTTGAAGGATTCAATTAGACTTGAAGTCTTAGGATTATATAAGGACTCCTGCTGGTCTGGTCGACATATTTATGGGTTTTGAGATTAGAGTGGATTTTAACATTTCCATGGTGTAGAAGTGTCTCTCCAGCAGAGTAAGCCTAGCCACAAACAGAGAAATCCCCACAATATGTGTTTTTTGTAAGATCGTTTTAAAGGAATGCAGCGTACAAATGTGAAGGGGATTGTATTTAATCTCTTCTATCTCATTCCAATGATTTCAGAGCGTAGGAGCATGATGAAAGATATTTGACTGTTTTGGACCAAAAACAAGACAATCTTCTCAAAGACATTCTTTAAGTGGAATGAATCATTGCTTGTCAATTTCTGATAATCATCCGTTTGCCAAAAGCTTTGAAAATGTTCATAGAAAAGATATTTTTGTACTGTCGGTTCATATGGATATTGCGTCATTGCAAAATGAGTCTTGGCATGTAGTTTACATAAAGTTAGATTCATGCAGTGCTCTGAGGATTTGCTTCAAGTTATTGTTTCTGAAAATTTTGTAAAAAATATCTTTAAGATTGATTTGTTTTAGCTGGAATTTTGTGATTGCAGCACAACCTAGCTATTTTATACTTAGACAAGGAAAAAATAAAATTGTTGGGTTACTTTTTGTTTGTTGATACCGAGATCGTAAAATTGTTATCTGTGATAGCTCTGACATCCTTTCTCAATAAAATCATTTGAAAGTCTAAAATTAGACTGTTTAACGAAAGAGCATAAACATTGCAATCTCAGCTGAAATCTGTCTTTACTGCAAATAGCTACAGCCAGAGTTAGTGCATGTGCAGATCTGTTAACCAAGTGCTAAAGCGAAATCTGCAATGCACATGCATCTAGTACATGTGATATGCATGTCTTCAATTAGGACAGGTGCTTGAAGGAGAGTGCTTGATCTCCGATTACAGGTGTACTGGGCAGGTATGCCAAGTCTACGGGCAACATCGTTAGGGGAACAGGCACTACACAATGTATACACCTTCATCTTGTTTGACAAACTTTCTCAGCTTAATCCCCGTTCATAAACATCAATGAGAAGTATGAGAGAATGTATGATATGTCTTATAGGGCAGTTACCTAAAACTACATGTTCTGATTATACCAGCCAAACATAAATATTCCCGATAAAGGTAAACAAGAAAGGCGCCTGCCGCAACAGCCTTTCTGTACAGAAGAGAGATATAGAACACCTGTAGGGATAGGTGTTACTGACGAAGGTAGCATGTTAATTATTGCAGGTATTTAAGTCAGGTGTCCCAAGGTTATTGTGCGTAGTACAGACTGATGTTTTTAATCCTACAGGTATTTTGTCAGAAGTACTCAGTACTCTCTGTAACATAGATACTGATGCTGATCAATGCAAGTTCTGGTATTTCCTGAAGTCAGGTGTTCACCGATTTGTCCGTATTAGCCGCCGTTTGATCCGAGCTTATTTGGTATTTGAGCATATTGATGCAGACATTTCTAGGATCTGGTATCTGATTTACCTGGTACTCTGCCAGTACCTGTTCTAGTAAAGCTTGCAATGTAATACAGACATGATGTTACTTGCTCTAGATGGCAGATGTACACGGAAGCTGAATAAAGAAACACCTGTGGGCTTTGTTTTTGTTGGCGTATTCCTGTTGCTCTGTATTATGTAATGAGGTTTGATGAAAATCTCCACCAATCCCTGTGATGTTTCTCAAGGTAATCAAGGCCTGTTCCTCATCAGAAGAGAGCTGTTTCAACATCATAATCATTCCAATATGACTGTAATGTGATGTTTTTTGTTGGATATACATGTTTTTGCGGATTGAGATGCGCTTTCCAGGTATTCAATCTGTTAGAGTTGTCTGTTTACTTACAACGGGAATTCGGAGATAGTTTTAATCTAATTTCATGTAATTTCTCACTTTTGAAAGACTTTACTTCCAAAGAGAAATGTCAAGGAAATTCTATTATAAAACAGATCTGTTGTTTAAGTTGCTGTGCTGTGCTTTTCTCTCTGAACATAATGATAGCCACATGGATTCTGCTTCATACAACAGAAGAATTAACTTAGTATTACTGACAGAAACGATCTGGTAGTCACACCGACCCGGGCCTATTGGTGGGTCACGGCGACCATTTTGCTGATCTTGTCTATAACATTGCTAACTAGCAATGACACACAGACAATGCCAGGATACAACTTTTCTTAAGTTCTATCATCATCCAGTCTGGATCTGTCTATCTGTGGGAATTTTTATAGGAATTACCATATGTTATCTGTAAGACGAAACAAGATGTCTGCTATGCCTGAACAATCATTCCATCTTTGAGATAATTATGGAATTAGACAAATGGGACGGATAATCTGATCTGACATCATCTGTCTGAATTCTCACGTTCCTGTGTACTTTATGATAGAATTTACAGGCAGGCAAAGACCTCCATTTTCTACCTCAAGATGGAGATCAATCAAGGGAGATAATGACTTTTTTTCTGTCTTGTCCAATATTTTCTGTCAAGGGAGATAACTTTTATTTCTCTCAAGACATAGCCCAGTACTGACTGAATATGTCATTACTGACTGGATACAATGTTATAAACTGTATATCTAATAAGCTTAGTTAACATTCATATCAGCCATGAATGCCATGACCTATTAAGGCTGACATCATTATTATTATGATATTGTGACCCTTCCTGGTAGATTTGTATATATGTGGATGTTCACTTTATTGAACAAATATACACACAAATTTGTATTTCTGATTTTTCCCTTACTCTAGTTTTAAGTGCCTACCGAATATTTTTGTCTGATTTTAGACAAGCACTGTTGAAGTGAAATCTAATTTTTACATAACATTTGTAAAATACTTGGCAAAATAAATGATTTTCTTTTCGAATTTTTTGAGAGCCAGAAACTCCATTATGATGTTGTTTGGCCTGATCACTATTTCCTGAAGAGCCTTGGCAAATTTGTTCAGTGTGAAAATTTGTTTTATGCTTGCTTGTACTGGATTTGGGAGGGTGGGATTGAGACTGGAGGATGGGAGGTTGGGGGAGGGGGGGGGGTACATTGGGTGTGTTGGAACATTAACAGTGCATTTACGGTTTCCAAGGGGGTGTTTGTTTACCCATTACCTGGCCTAATCGTAATCACGCTTGTGCACATTTCGACTGTCTGTATCATCACGACCAGACACACAGGGGGGCTCTATCCCCTCTGATACAGCCAACAGGATAAATAAATAAACAGCTTTTGCAATTTATTTGGATTAAATTTTTCCCGCAGTAATGTATTGGTATTCATATTAAGTTGTACAGAGGTAATACCAAACAGACACCATGCCTGTTACCTTCGGTGATGATAATTTGTTATGCACATGAACTGTTGGATAACAAATTGGGTTGGATAGACTTTTTCTTCGACATACAACTTTCGTTTGCACACTTTCATGGGTTTTCTACTGTTTTTTTGTGGAACATTTGTTTATACAGAAACAGAGAGTGACAATTTATGCCTGGAGTTCTGAAGAAACTGATTTATTAGGGGTGTTGTTCTGTATCTTGACTCGTACATAATGTAAAGTAGTTCTCCAGACATTTGTGTGAATACCCTACCAACTCCCACACCAAAATCTTAACAAGACTTTTCTCAGATGTAGACTCCATTTCTCTGACAGGAAGGTCAGAAACATAAAATTACAAAGATGTTCTAGAACTGATTATCTTAATGAGGTCATTATCACTTTTTCATAAAATCAGATTTTTTTTTGTTAATGTTATGTGCTACCTTACACATGATACCTGCCATTTGTTTTAGAGTTATCTTTCTTAAGAATATTTGCTACCTTGCACATAACACCTGTGATTTCTGTGTTCAAACTATAAACCTGAAACATAGATACGCTGAATTACACATCGTACTTCTGGTATAACATAGACTGGCTACCAGCCCCTAAGTTTTTATGAAGAATTTCTAGACTGCATTTCACTACTAGCTTATCCCCCCCTAGTTTAGAACTTTGAATCAGACATCCAAGCGATCAAAATTATTAGAGTTACATTTTTTTTCTTAATAATTCAATATTCTAGAGACAGGGTCCAGGTCCAGTCTATAGGTATAACACTGTACCTGTGATTTGTGTTAGCAATGAGGATATATACTACCTTACATGTTATGTCTTTAAATGGTGTTGGAGTTGAGGATATATGCTGTTTTATTATTTATGCATGTGATTTGAGTTTTCTCCATCAATAAACAAAAGTTCATAAATTGTCACATTAAGATATTATATATCATTAATGAGTTGACTTAATGTCTATTGACTTCTGTTTATACTTATCACATCCTTTATTTATGTATTTACAGGTGACAGAAGCAGGAAAGGACACACTGCCAGCTTGGCTCCACTTCCAGGAGTCCTCCCGACAGTTGAAGGGTGTACCCAGTCCTTCAGACGTTGGCCAGCAATATCTCGAGGTTGTCATTGGAGGTCACCACAACACACAAGCCAAAGATGTTTTCTCAATATCGGTGACTGGGGAGAATCCTGCGGAATTTGTCATGCAGTCCCCACCCAGTGATTCAGGACGACCCAACACCGTCAGATGTCGTCGCGACCTCCATGAAACAGCCGTCACTGTTGTTTTAGATACAGATCTGGACCATTTGAGTGCTCTGGAACGGATCCAACTCATGGAAAGTATGACCAAATTTCTGCCGCTCAACCTGGACATGTTGAAACTACTTCCTGTGGGAAACAAACCTTTCATTGACAACAACGCACTCGTTGCCGGACCAGGTGATGTGAAAACTCCCACAAAATCAGGAGCGTTACTGTCCTGGCTTGTTGGATGTGGTGAGGTCAACAAGGATCACATGCCTGTCATCATGGATGTCGAGCCTCGAGCCAAGGACGGTAGTATGTCTAAAGCTCTTGGTCAGTCAATCATTGGCTGGCATGTCACCAACACTGAGCAACAAGCCAAACTTCGACGCCGCAGACAAGCTATTCGTGCGACGGCTACTCCTGGTCTTTCTCAAGCCCCTCCCACAGATCTTCCTTCCCAAAGAGTACCAGTGAAGGACACAGATACATTGATGCGGTCCGTTCCCAACATGGAATCCCCGATGTTTACCCCAACAAAGACCGCAGACATTAAGCCAACTAAGACGGCCGTAATGCCATCGGCCAGTCCGGAGGACCACGGACATGATCATAGTCACATGATGACCAAACTACCAACGCTGGACACTACCACAAAGAAAGCCATGACTGATGGTGCTATTACACCCTCGGCACAGCCTGATCCTGAGCCTGAACCAGAACCAAGGGCAACCGAGATCTTGCCTACGAAGACATACACCATGACTGACGCCCCAACAAAGATTCCTAGGCCCGTCACTGAGGCGCCTCCTTACTGTCCACCCGACGACCAGCCCAGGAGTCCCTTCAAGAAAAACAGAATGGGTCAAATTTACTTCACTGCAGGACAGTTTGCAGAATTCGCCATTCATGACGATTTGTTCTTTGATTGTAAAGACGGCAATACCAGGAGCCTCAGGTTAGATCTGTTTAAGGGAGACAATGAAATATTGCCGGTCAACTCCTGGGTTGGACTAAAACACAAAGAAGATGGTGCCTGGGTCATACAGGGACTGCCGATGAACCTGAACGAGGGAACAGAGAAATACAGGCTGACAGCCATGAACACCAGGGGAACATCGCCTGCTGTTGAGGAGTTCACGGTTGTTGTGCTTACTCAAGATGGTATCTCTTATGAAAAACCTAGTCATGAAATAGCTCTCACCCTAGATAATGACTTTGATACTTTCGACTTCAATGACAGACTGTTGCTGATGAAGAAACTTGCTAGATTAGCTGGTGACGGAAACCCAGACAACATTGAAGTTCTTCGTGTCGCAAGGGGATCAGTTATATATGCCTGGACAAACTCTTCACTGCCAAGAGATTCATGTCCTGTTACAGAAATCCAAAACATGGCTGGGAAATTTTTAAGAGAAGATGGAACTGTAAGAAAAACTGCAAAGAACAGGCTTGCCCCATACAAACTCAGTGGAATGGAGTTGGCTCCAAAGGGAGCTTGTATGAATGATCCTAATTTCCCAACCCTCGGAGTCAAAAAGCAACCAACACCCGAGCCAGAACCATCCAAAAAACCGGATAGCCCTGATGCTGAGCCACCCTATAAGGTTGAGACAACTACCCCCGAACCCGATGTAAACCCAGGCAAAGCTGCTCAGGGTGACGATGACGAAGTCTGGATCACAACGGTTGTACCCGCAGTAGTGATAGTAGCTATTTTACTCATCGCTCTTCTCATCGCTTGTATTCTTTACAGGAAGAAGAGGAAGGGCAAGATGTCTCTAGAGGACAAAAACACATTCGTAAACAAAGGTGCACCTGTGATTTTCCCAGACGAATATGATGAAAAGCCGAATGATTCGACGAAACCTCTTATAATGGATGACGAGAAACCACCAATGCCTCCCCCAGAATACACTAGAGCATCCAGTGAAAGTTCAAGGTCATCGGCAGACAATAAAAATGACAATGATATGGGGGAGGAATTAGAAATGAACGAGCCTGACGTTCATTCACCACTTTACCAACCACCTCCCCCAGTGCCTGCCTCGGGTGGCAACAAACAGCCACGCCCACATGTCACGCCCGCCTACAAAAACCCAGCCCCATATGTGCCTCCATAAGACCGACCAATTCTCTCCAACAGAGATTTATAATTGGTGTTTAATGTTCTTAATCATAGTTCTACAATTTGAATGAATGATGTGCTTGGTATGCATGTATATGCAAAAGTTGGCTGGTAATACTTACTTAGGGGATTGGGACTAGTCCTAAGGTGTGTCTGTGAGGTCATGTGAGGGGATCGGAATTCTGTGTCAGCTGCTGTCGTCACCAGGATATATGCGCATCACCAGGTCATCACCACGTTTATATATGTAACAATTAGGCCTTACATCATATTGTTTAACATTACCGTGCTACCTGACCACACATGCTGATTGGGTGCGCTTATCAAGACCAACAGAGACGCTTCCTATGTGGTGCAGACTGTCATTGCATTCTATACGTAACCTCAAACCCCGGACTCCATGTGCGCGTACCTTACTGTGTTGGGCTGACGATATCGATCATGTGATCTGTCTGTTTGTCTGTGCAACATTTACCTCACCAGGACCCTGTCACCCCCCCCAATGACAACAGTGGTGTAACCCAAGTCAGTGTACAGTCTATTGCCACAGCTTAGGGGTGAGAGGTTTACCAACGTAAGTTCTATATTTAGAACGCAATCAGTGAGGCTCTAGGGGAGCTGCACGACGTTGCATTTTATATAATGTTAATACAGGTGTAGATCGGGTTTGATAGGTTGATTGACATACGTGTGGATTGTGGATGTGACAATGATACAGATGTTAATTGCGATTGTTACGATGATGATAAAATGCGTGGATTGCTATTGATGTGATACATGCGTGGATTTCGATTGATGTGATGATGCTACCGGCGTGGATTCCGACTATTGTGATGACGTTAGGGGTGTGGTCTTCGTTTACCAAGTCTTAAACAGTCATTGGTGCTACAGTTAGTAAAGGACAGTCGTCATGGTAACTGTGCTGGGTTGCCAAGGAAACTGGGCTAGTCGACACATGGCAGAGAGTGCAGCTTTTGTTTTAATTCATGTAATCAAACCTTTAACTATTCATTGAAGAAGCATGAAGACCAGTGTGACTTATCGTCCAGGGACCTTGTGACATCGTGGACGATACGTTGAATGATAAGTCTGACATTAGAAGTCGTCGTCAAATATCATGATGAGCATCTCCGCCACAGAAGACTACATGTAGATTTACTTTATGGACAGATGTGAACGGAGAGAAGTAGATCTCGTGACCAAGTGGTCTAGATGTTATATTTCTGGTGTTGTACCAGTAAAGTAACCCATAGTGATTTCACAAGGCCTAAGGTCATATCATGATATATTTCTATTGTTTCAACTGCATTTTAATGAAAATGAAACAAAGAAATATATTAGCTTCTGTTGATGTTCCTGGCTTTAAACATTGAATACGGTGAAAAAGAAAAAGGTTTTATATGTGTGTCAGTTTGTTTGAATTATTTCAATGCAATTTTGTGGATTCTTTTTTTTTATTTGTATGGGTCACTTAACGTGATTGAAAGAGGTTTTTTTGTATAAATATATGTTAAAATTTGCCTGAAAAAATAACCTTAGTTACAGCATATTGTATTTATATCTTGTCACTAAAAGTCACTCAAATGAGCGTTAATTGGGGAAATAATCTATTATCAGTGCAGAACTCTTGTCTTAGGTCAAGGTCACACCTATGTTCAAGCCAGATAGGTGAAGGTCATTGGTAAAATTCTTGTGATTTCAAAATCACAAATTAATTCCATGTCTTTCCCTGCTACATATAATATAGGGACATTCCTTTACAATGTGTCTAATTGTCTGGCATGCCAGGAGCTAAACCTGCGTTTACCAGAATCCTGAGGCAGACTTGACTAAATAGTTATTTCTTCTTTGATTCAAGTGCTAATTAGAATATTGATTATTTATTAGTAATTAACCAATCACCTTAATCAAGTATAAATATATTTTCCTGGCGGAAGCTGTCAGAATTTGATAATTGTTATTTTAGAGTATTTTGCCCAAGAGTATTCAAACAGTAACTATGGATACCTGGCCAGGACCTGCATTCATGGATACATACGTTCTCATGCTCAATCCTGAATTCTGTGCTCAAACCCAACTTTCTAGCTAATATCATACGACACTCCCAAACAGTCAAGTCTTGCATTGCAAACAGTACCTGGTTTGGAGTTTTTCCAACATTATCCAAGTCATTTAGAAATTTGGGTATTGTATTACAAGAATAAGGATTTGGGTTTGAGCGCAGAATCTGAGTTTTTTAAGTACGAGAACTGTTTCATGAACAGGTGTCCAATTGTCAGGATTATGTTTCGAGTAATTGTTTACTGTAGTTTTAGTAGTGGTAGTAATAGTCATCGTGTTTGATGAAACTTTAAATTTTGTATGAATATTGTAGCTATATGAAACTCGCCTGCTGATGACAAAGAACATGTTCGGATAAAAGGATTTGTGTTGAATGTCGATTAGTTTTGTCCTCGTTAATACTCAAGCTCTAAATCACGGAGGGTGAGATTTCCAATGATATTGTTACAGTTGTTCTCTCGGAGAAAGGTTGTCAAAGTCATATGAGGCACTTATTTAATATTGATTAAAATTTCTTGTTCTCAGAAAATAAATTCTTTTTATTAAAAATTCATACATCAACATGTTAAAATCTTGATACTAAAATATTTTTTTCAATGTTTTATATCAAGAATTTAACTGGACTATTCAACCATTGTTTTGTGCTAGCAACATTTGAGTTCTTTATACAAGAATTTGTTTAATTAAAAAAAGAGCTTTCAGATTTCAAAAAATAGGTAATGAATAGTAAAATGGTGCCTCAGAATATTGTTTATATCCAGTAAGGCTTTAGATTGAAAATAAACTGTCCACAAAAAAACTATTTTTTTCATTTGTTTCATTCTTCCCCATCATCACAACACTGATCAGTTTAAATGGTGTTTGAATCACTATATACCAGTTATATATAATCTGCTAGTTCTTCGCTAATGAAAGGTACAGTAGTGGTCGTTGAATCTCTAGAGAAAACCTTAAAGTGTTGTCGGATAAATATAGAAGTGGCGATTTACTCATGCACCCCTGAAGACACATTTGAACTCTTCCAATTCAAAGGTTAGAAGAGTTCATTTTGAAATTTCAGGGGTAAATGAGTTAATTCATTGCTACATGTATCTATCAGTATGTCGGCTTTTTAGTCTTCTGTGGATTGAATTTTATTGAGAATTATATTTGAATGAGGAAACTGATTGTTTGTAATGCTGAAACCACTTATGGCCTTATATTGTAGTAGGTTGGAATAGTTTTGTTTCTCAACTCTGTTAGAAATCTCGGGATAGAGAGACACTTTTGTTTGGTTTGTGCGCCTCGGGGAGTGCAGTAGTGAACGGTTATGTTTAACTACCACAGGAAGGGGTTGTATTTGGTCGCATTTAAACTTGGAGGTGTCCGGGCTGGTGGTTATTTCATCCTATTTATTGACATTGAGTGTAGCATGTTAACGAAGAATGGAAGCATTTGAGTGATGATCGTTTTCAATATGATTTTTTTTTTTTTTTTTTTTTCCAATTCAAACCTAGTCAAAATGTTTGAATTCAATTATTAACATCCATCACAATACATAATGGAAGGTTTTACGATATGTAGTGGGGACAAATTAGAATTCATTTTCTCATTCTTTGCTTGCTGCAGCCAAAACCTTGGTTAATTATGCATATTATTAAAACAAGACACATTCGGGAAATCATTTGGAGTTGATATGAGCTGATTATTTACGAATGAAAGATTGAACTGAGAGTGCTATATAACTGTACATCTAGTGACTGTAGACTCTTGAATGTATAAATGAAACTGTATCAAGAAACTGTAATATATTGAAAATATGATCATTCTGAAAAGTCATTCTGTGTTGTCAAAACTGTACATAAAACATTGAGCCTTATTTGTTGGGAATTTTTTCCATAGTGACAGTGAAATATGTCGGGCATGCAGGCTGCAGTTTAAGAGTAACTTTCATTTTACATATACACATTTTCACTGCTAAATGTGTCTTGCATATAGTTGGCAAAGAGTTATTACTTACTTTCATTTTCCATGAGCATTACACTAAATCACCATTACTATTGGCACATCAGTCTATATAAAGTTTCTTTAGAGATATACTTTTGTTCTACATGTACATCACATTACATAACCATCAGGCTATATGAAGCCTGCATGACGTTACTTTCATTTTACATACACTACATCACCATTGCCAGGTACATCTGGCTAAATCAAGTGTGCAAGGAGTTACTTTCATTTTACATGTACAATACACAACATCACCATTGCTCTGTTGCTCATATATGACTGTGTATGCCCCTATATAAACCACATTATTCCAAGTACAATGCCCGGGGGGTCTGGGAGGGGAGTTCTATCTTTGTATAGTCTTTATGTTGTCATCATCAAGCTAGAATGTTTCATTTATTTCTTACGTTTTTGTGTATTTGTTCTGTTTGTCCTGAACTTGAGGTCGCTTTTCAAATTCTATAAACCATGAGCAACTAAATCATTTAAACAGGAAAACTTTAAAAAAAAAAAAGAGCAGTCATGTTTTAAGTTCATGATGGCCACTGATTTGATGCTTTACTTTGTAGTCACCAAGTGTTCTGTAAGAAATATCCCTAATTTAGACTTTGAGCATGTGAATTTCTACAAAAGTTTTCATTAATCATATTTTCTTGAACTTGAAAGATGACTTGCGCATGTCATGGTAAAATGTCAGCAGATAGCTAATATTGACAACAATATGACCGCCTCTCTGTAATGTAGGCCCAGTGTCAGTGATATGATAGAGGGAAAGTTTAACTAGTATTTATTTACTTATTCATTTATATATATACACACCATGTAAGTTACTATACATATATAATACACATATATGTGCCATGCCAAAACAATTCAAATTCTTTGTAAACTCATTTGTCTGAAATTTGTAAAAGATTTTTTTCTTTTTGCAAAAAGGCCCTGCCCTGCATAACAGCTTTCATCTTAATTAGATGAATGTAAATGGAGAAAAATCTGGAAACATAAATTATCTCCAGTTTTTGAGGTCACATAGAAGTTTATTTTTAAAACATCAATGGAAAACCATGAGTTTTCTTAGTAATTTGACAAATATCTAATTTAAGATGAAAGGTATCGTCTAGTTGGAATATGTTATTGTAGTCAACAACCATTATAATTTTTTTTTTTAATTCTACAGAAGTTTTCGATAAAAAATCACAAATCTCAATGCTTTTTACAGACTTATAGTCGGAATAGTTATTAAAGCAATGCATCAAATGAAAGATGATACACCTTAACAAGGGAAGTAACTCTGATCCAGGATTTAGTAAAGAAGGGAGATAATTTGATTTCTGCAAATCAGGAAAAAAAAGGACTCGGAAACAGAACCCGGCTTCAACATTATAGCCGCTACATTGGTACCGTTTACCTTAAGATGTGACATTTTTAAATCTTTCAGTCTGACTAAGATAAACCTATGTTAATTTTTATGTTAGATTAATATTTGGTATTCCATTAAACACTAAAAGGCCAATAAGGATACAGTAAACTATACTAACCAATCGTATTATTTGTATACATAATACTTCAGACATAAATATATATGAATATCGTATTGCCAGTATTTTTGACAAGGCTACGATACTTCGACCAATTGGTACCATCATATGTTCAGTGATTGAGAAACTTGCTACAAGTGTAGTTGGACTTAAGGATGTATACAACCTTGCTGTGATATAATCTCTTACCCAGAAGATCTCCACTCTAGATATTAAGGGGGGGGGGGGTAATCAAGAAGTTAAGGGAGGTAACTCTTAACAAAAATCACAGAAATAATTTGTTCAGGTTGCTAACATGTATCCTTTAGTTGGGGAAAAGATGATAAATTATCGGTATCTGTAGCAAGTTTATCAATTTGTGATACATAACAATCTGTTTGATGGTATTTTTTCCAGTTTGGGATCTCGAGATTGAAAATAAGATTTTTTATGTCAAAAATAACCAAAATTTTAGTTTGGATTTTATTATTTTTATATACATATATAACCCTATACATAGTTCATCTCTTCAATTCACTGTTGATAAACAATGTTAAAAATATGTGTCTGCTAAATCACGACCAATTGATAAAAAATAAACTTCTTCAGTTTCAGTCATATTTTTGAAAAGAAAACACTGTTGCTAAGAATTCAGTGAAAATAATTTGGTTTATTGTGATTTTTTGCATGTTAGTCTTGTTTGTGATTACATACCAGTATGTATCTTTCATTTTTAATATCGAAAATTATATAATTTGTATTTTAGTATTGGAAGTTCAAAAAAGTACTGTTGACACAAATACCAAATGAAATCGGCATTTCTGTTGAATTCCGCTTTATTTTTGTGGGTGACAGGCGGTGACGTATGTCACTCCAGATTTGTACTGGACCAGGAGTCCAGCATGAGGTCACGTTTTCAGTTGTATATGTTAATTGCTATTGAGATGATATTTCAATAAACAACAAATTTGATGATATCCGTCTACAGAGTGATTTATTCCTAGTTGTAACCCCTAGTAGGAAATGTTGGTTTAAGCTTTTGTGAGTAAAGCCAAATAGAAGCGACTAAATGGTATACATGTGACAGGTTACAGGGTTTTAATCTTGGTTAAAACATAGCAATGATGTCACAAGTGTCCAATAAGCTTTATGAACTGTCCAATAAGTTTGACCCACTGTCCAATAAGTTTGACCCACTGTTCAATAAGTTACCCACCTGTCAAATAAGTTTGACCCACTGTCCAATATGTTTGATCAACTCTCCAATAAGATTGACCCAATGTCCAATAAATTTGACCAACTCTCCAATAAGTTTGATCAACTCTCCAATAAGTGACCCGTCTGTCTTATAAGTGCTCAATTTATAAGGGGCCTCGACACCTGTCCTTTCTCTCTCACTTATTGGACAGTTTTCGGCTTAACCATAACGTATTATCAGTGCATGAGGGAATTTTTCTTTAGAATTCCTGTACCACAGACAAAAACTAACTACGAATTGGAAACATTTTACCATCATCAGAATGGCTTAAATCAATCATTTCTGGTAAGAAACCTGTACCATGCGGAACTTTTATAGAAGTGAAATAAAGATGAATTTAAAAAAAATCAACAGCAGTGTCGAGAATAAACATTCAACAGGACCAGAGGAAGATTGGAAACTTGGACCTCCGATCACAATATAATATGTCTGCTCTAACTAAACGAGCTTCAGTGATCAGGGTAGTTTACTATCCAAGCAACACAACAGTTATATTCAAAAACGAAATTAAGGAGAGCTTTAGTTTAAACTTTATTTTATTATCGGTAAAATATTCCAGTAATACGAACGTGATATACATATAGAATTCGAAAACAAGTACAAAGTACTTATGTTAATCCGTCTCTTTTTTTGTGTTAAACGGCGATTGGACAGCACTGACTAATATTATATAATATAGATATAAGTATATGTATATGGAAGAGACGAGGATGGAGGAGAAAGGGGGGGGGGGGGGGGGGGGGAAAAGGGGGGGGGGGGGAGAGGTGCAAAAGGGTTTCAAAGGAGAGGTTTATGTTTGTACGTACACCTTTACCATGACATTCACAAGTGTTTCGCCTGTAGTTGGACAGGGATCCTAAAACTCAGTTGGTAGAGTGGTCGGTTCAGAGGACGGGTGTCCCCTGTTGTTTGTTCCATCCCTGGTTTAGACAGAAACACCCTACTCTCAGTTACACCACAAGGTCAACAGCAAATGACAGCACAAGAGTTCAAAATATCAAAAAAAACAAAAAAACAGACAACAACAGAAACCAAGGAGACGTCAAAACAAAACAGACAACAACAGAAACCAAGGAGACACCAACACAAAATGAAAGACATCTTGAGCCACCATTATAGACGGGAGGCCATATATGGCACCCGTGATGATATCACCTCTCAAATCCAGGGAAGTATGCCATTAACTGGCGATCCTGGAAACAGTGAACACATTTGGTAGACAATGGAAGCGCGTCGTTGAACGTCTTGTAAGGATGAGGACTGTAGCTGTATAGTTGATTTGTAAATAAGTGCAGTGGGGTCGCGGGATAGGAGTTTGTTGGCGTTGCTAATTAATCAACAAGGAGGAAATGTTCTTTCACTAATGATCCGGTTCTTGTGCAATTAAGCACAGCATACAAACTAATTTTGATGTTTGTTTCCATAGAAAAATCAAAGAGAGATCGATCAGTTTCTGAGAATAGAAGCATGTATGGCGTCAGTAAAACATGCCATCGGAATTAACCGGACGTCAAAATCGAAGTCCAATGTGAAAGTCAATAGCAAGTATACAAATGTATACATACAGTAAACCAATCAAGTAGTGAAGGTTGTCTGTCAGACGTGTGTGTCTAAGATAGCCTAGTATTATTACGGTGTAGACTTGAACGATTTTTTTGGGATTCCTCAAGCATTATCTTGGACCAGAATATAAACTCGCGCAGTTGAGATTTTTTCAAACCCACATGCTTGCGTGGTGTTCCGCCAACGGTGTGATGAGACCATCCAACCTATGACTCCTTGCTCTACTACGTACGTATATATGTATTCTGACATGGCCCTCTCCCCAGGAAACGTCTGGGGCAGCACTATATTGTTCCCCAAACAACTCTGAAACAATCTTTTTCGGATAAGTAAAAATGATGGTGTATATATATACATGCAATCAGAGACGTATATATACGTCTCTGATGCACTTGAAAGTAAGTTTATAAAACGCCTTTATAAAAACGAATCAACATCAATTGTACCAACACCGGAGTATTGACAATTGTAAATCTGTGTACAAAAGATGAAACCATCGCCAATAATTACGTATTACTGCACCTAATTATAAGTTCTATTGTGACGTCACACAAGGTACGGACGGAAATGACGTCATGTATCCTCATGATCAGAGACAATTAGAGTAGGATACAGGAATGTCGCAGGCTTTGGATTGTTGTTTGGTCTATGTTGTCATTGCTAAATAGATACGAAATTATTTATGTACTGATGAGGAACACAGGGTAGCATAGGTATAACAGTATTCCATTGTCAAGTACAGTGATCTCGGAGCCAGGTACAGTTTCCGGGAATCGAGGCTTAAGTCAGATAACCTGAAGCTATATTAAATTACAGTCCTGCAAAACAGCACATGTGATGTACTACAACAAAATGACGTCACGGCTTAGTCTGACAGCCACTGTGATAATCTGTGCTTTAAATATAGGAATCGTCCCGATGATTGGGAGTAATAGGAACGGGTATATATGGTTTACTACGACTCACAAACTCTTTGATTGTAATTTCCCTATCCACGCGGCTCACATATGAAAGAAAGAATAACTATGTACAACACGTTCTCGTGTAGTTGACGTTCAAGTGAAGTGGCAGCTGTCTAGTAGAGAGTTGTAGCGACACGTGCTCTTCAGGAGGTATAGACTAATATCTGACACGGAAGACGGCTACAAAGTCCGGCTCGGTCAGGGTGACATTCAGAGCAATGCAGCTAACATGTCCCATGCATCTTGCCAAACTGGAATCGGTACAATAGCCGAACACAAGGCTGTAATTCATGAATGCACTAGCCCCAACTATGATGTATGTAGTTAGGAAAATATTTAAACGTACAAGTAGATTAACATGAAGACAAACACTAGTAGAAAGAGTACCAGTGTGTATACTGGCTATTGTACCGTTGTCTCGCGGGCTGGTTTTTGGCGGTAACTCAATAAATACTGTAAGCATTTTACTAGTTTCGCCGACTCCTTCCAGAGAAGAAGTACATACTTATAATTTAGATAGAATTTGATTATGTTTTTCTTCATTTGTAACTGTCCAAACAAGTCATTCAGAAATTATTCTCGTTGTATATTATGTCTTTGTTGACGTTAAACACTTATGTCTGCCAGCGGTACATTCACATCGACGTTTGTTTTCAAGTGTTGGTTTTATCAGATTTATTCATGTTTGCCTGGGACGATGTAATAAAATGAAGTTTACATTCGTGTGAGGTTTTGATGAATATTTCGTTCATTGCCAAAACGCTACAAACGATAGTCCATTCGATCTAGTACAGGTATTTTATATTAACACACACAAGTAGTTGCCCTAGTAACATGCTAGCGGCTAATGTTTGCTACAGATTAAGTTTTATGGATTGTTCATGAACATGCAATCATATTGCATATTTTGTCCAATTATTTCTAATCTAAACCTTCACCGGAGGTTACAGGACGACTAAATCTACACCGGAAGTGAAAGAACGGCTTATTTAAACGATCACGAATTACATTTTTTTTCATAATAATGACATCGAATGAAGCCAGCATGACCAAAGACAGTGCTACAGTTATCCTATCTTTGAAAGCTCTTTCATTAGTTTACTTAAACGTTATGTGTGTTTTGTAGCGTACGATCATTTAAGTAGGATTCATTACAGCGTAGTCACGCGTTTTGTAAAGTTCCAAACAAACGAAATAAAAGGGTATAATTTTCATTTTTTATTTAATTACAAAACTCGTATGATTTAATCATAATTAAATCAGTAAGATAGTATAAGAAATAACCATTTCATGTTTAAAAAATATAACCATGGGCAAAGAGTGCATTCATTTTCCTCTTTTATAACGGCTGGAAATGAAACGAAGTCATGCAATGCAAATAAAATGATATTTCGACAAAACCCATGGCGATGTTGGTGCGAGTTGAACCCATTAACTATCAAAACGTTTTTTGGGGGCTATTAAAAAAGTAAATGGGTAATGTCTACTTTAAGAGGGAACACGAACCTCAGAATTATTGTTTATATACATGCCCTCCACCAGCACACGATCACCAATACGTATACTGCTACATGCGAGTTATGTAATTAAAAAGAATGAAAATTATATAATTTTATCTCGTTTGTTTGGAACTTAACAGAACGCGTGACTACGCTATAATGAATCGTACGTTAAACGATCGTACACTATAGACACACACAAGGTTTTAGTAAAATAAGGGAAAAGTTTAAGAAAAATGGGGTTACTACAACAATGTCTTCGGTAATACTGGCTAAGTTTGATGTCACTATTTTGATATACACTTAAAAATCGTGACCGTTTGATTAGCAATCCTTTAACTTCCGGTGTAGAGTAAGTTGTCCTGTAACTTCCGGCGTAGATTTAGCCGTCCTGTAACTGCCGGCGTAAATTTAGCCGTCCTGTTACATCCGGCGTAGAGTTAGCCGTCCTGTAACTTCCGGTGTAGATTTAGCCGTCCTGTTACATCCTGCGTAGATTTAGCCGTCCTGTAACTTCCGGCGTAGATTTAGCCGTCCTGTTACATCCGGCGTAGAGTTAGCCGTCCTGTAACTTCCGGTGTAGATTTAGCCGTCCTGTTACTTCATGCGTAGAGGTAGCCGTCCTGTAACTTCCGGAGTAGATTTAGCCGTCCTGTAACTTCCGGTGTAGAGTTTGCTATCCTGCTTCCGCTG